ACATTTTTTTTTAAACTGCTTGAAAAATCATTTTCAAAAAGTGTCAACTATCACAGTGATATCTGGACACTAAAACTGCTAAAATTATACTGTAGTTGATTGTTTCTTTTATGCTACCTGACAATTTGATTTATGAGGATGTTTTTCTCCAAGTTCTTGTTAACAGAGCTTAAGAGTTTGTTTTTTTTTCTCTCCTTTTCTACATCTTTTTTGTTTTAAACGTTAAAAAAAAAAAAAAGAGAGGTGGGGGTTGAAAACCACTGAATCAGACAGCCAGACATATGAGGAGGACTCCAAAACTTGTTAACGCCTGGCATGATTGAATGGGGGGGGGGGGGGTGTAATAAGAGTAAGGCAAGAGATAAATACCTGTATGATTTTGGCACAGATGGAGGCCATACAATAACAATGACCTGATCTGCGATTCTAATGACTGTATGAGAAGTCTCAACATGACAGCCTATGCCCTTTGGCAGGAAATCTGATGACATTTCTTCATTTTCTTTTGTATTAAACTATATTATTTTACTTTGACACTGACACTTATCAATATTTCTCTGGAGTCAGTCTCATTTTCCGACAGAAACTGAATTCACCGAAATGAAACCCATGAATTAAAGCATGATTCTTTAGGCACATCGCGGAAAGAAGAAACCTGAAGTATGTCATGACATCAAGACCTAGGAATGGAGACTAAGAGACAGTGTGTTGGGACACAAAACGGCAATAAAGGAAACCTGTATCAGAAATGACTGCCAGTGTGGGAGGTAAAATGCTATAGACAAATGTGATTATCAATGCCACACGACACAAACTTTTAGAAATGAAGGATGATAGCATCAAAATGAAGTGCATGTTTGTTGGCGCACGTGTGTACCAGCTCAGTTTTAAATGTTGTGTAAAAGTTTTTGTGGCCCTTGAGTTTATTACAGGGCACTTTAGAGAAAGCAAAGATCACTAACACAAGCCCATGGTCAACTACTAGAGGACCTAGTGCCAAGTGCCCCGAGAGCTATGCCAACGGTCAGCTTAGACACTGGCAGGGTGTTCCGTGTTGGACAGGTCAAAGGATGGGAACTAGACCAGTAGTCTCCAAAATGGACGATGCACCACCTGGGGGGAGGGGGGGGGGAGTTTCTAAGAGAAGTCAAGCAATTGTGAAACTGAGTTCATTTATACTTGTAACAATCCGGATTTTCAGCTCTCACAGTCATGAAAACAAAACAAGACTGTCAGTTTAATGTGGAGGGTGAACTCCGTTGTGCCTCCTTGTGTCAACCATCACATTGATATTTGGACACTAAATTACCAATTTTTGGTGATTGTTTCTTTGGTTATTTGACACTTTGTTTAATGTGAATGTTTTTTTCCAAATTCTTTTCAGCAGTGATTGGGATTTTTCATTTTGTCCTCTTCTTTTCAATTACGTTTTTTTTTTTGTTTGGTTCGATCTTGGTCTCCCATGACCCCGCCCATTCACACACTTGCTCACTTCTGATTGGTAGTTCCTTAGCCCTGTGGACTTCGCACACGGTTACGGGGGTGTTCCGCAATGCCGTTGATATCGTGTGTTGTATATTTCAGCACACAAGTGCTTTTAACACTCCAAAAACATGGAGAAACTGGGTCTAACACAAACCCCCTAGAGAGTGCTGCAACCTATGTCACAGGCATTCTCTTACTCGGAATGAAAGCATAAATATAAGACATCGCAGAAAATAAACAAGAAAGCGGGACACACCCATAACCTTTAGCGAAGTCGACCAACCCAACAAATTTGTAAATGAAAAGAGACCTACTCTATTTGGGGAGACTAACGTCAAACTAACGCCATTATTTTTTTTATGTTGGAAAGGGGGAGGGGGGTGGGGGAGGGTTGTGGAAGGTACTCTTTGGGGGCCACCACCTAAAAAAAGGTTGCAGCCCACTGTACTACACAGATCTTCATTTGTAGAAAGACTGCGAGGGACCAACGGTGAGGAAATGCAAACCCAATAGAAATGCTTGCTAAAATCGAAATCAGAAGTGGGCAACATGACTGACAAAACATCATGATTGCTGAGTAAATGCTTCATCAAGCGATGTTTGGTGATGAACTGCATATGCCTATATAGTGGTCAAATTCAAAGTAGTCTACTGTAAAATCATCGGCATCTGACTTTGGGCCTAAAGGCACAGATATCGCAGCCTAACTGTAAACCACATCATCATATGCCAGCTGCCCTTTCAAACATGAATGCAAAAGAAAATGTCATATAAATTTCTGCAGATCTCTCAACAACCCGAGAAAGGAAGCAAACAATCAAGTAGAAAACTGACGAACCATCTAATAAAACTACTGGCAATACTTTTGGTAGATTACAAGCAGGAGTTGGGAATATTTTCTTAATGATAGAAAATTGATTTTGTGTCGTCTAGAAGAATAAATGTATGCCTTCTCAAAAAAGTACACGTCTGGAAATGGAACAGCTAATGAGTAATGGCTTAAGCCGTTATTTTCCTCATGAATAATGAATAAAAATGGTAATGTGTAAACTTGTACTATTATTATTTAGAAGTGAAACTGAGATGATGACAATGATGATAATAATAAAAAGAAATCAATGCTGAAAGAATAAATGATAGAGACACTGGAGAATTACATGGGAGAGAATTTGGCAACCAATGCAGTAGACAACTTAGATTTAGGGCACTTAAGGTAATTGATAATGAAGATAGAAATGTATTAATTTCCTGTGCAGAAATAAACAGGGGAAGAAGAGGAGTGGAGCAGAGAGATGGAGAGAAAGGAGGAGATGGATAAAAGAGGAAGAAGAGGCAAAGGAGGAGATGAAAAAAGATGAGGGACTGGAGAAAAGCAAGGGTCGAGGGAGAAGGAGGGATGAGGTATGGAAGAAATGGGTGGGTAAGACAAACAAAGAGACAGATAAAAAGACAGATATGGTGGGAGAAGGGAAGGAAGAGTTAAGAACACATTTTTCATTTCCATAATAGATAATTTTATTAACTCCCTTCCCAAACTTTCCAACCCCATCTTTTTTTTTTTTTTTATGGCAATTATATGGATCATGTATAGCAGCCATTTAGCAATAGTCTGTCTTTATGTAAGACAATGGTAGAACAAATACATCAAATATAGATACATCTTCTAAATGAAATAGGCTTACTGTATGTCTTTACTGTCTAGAGTACCACTTTTTATGGCGGTGTAGGACAAGGGAGGGGGAGGGGGCCTTAAGTCCGAAGATTTAGGGCCACATGGCTGGTAGTTATCATGAACTGTGCAGGTCAGGGTCAAGATGTTTATTTTTGCCTCAGACAATAAATAAAATACATACTGACTTTAATTTAAGTCTTCCAAACTGACAGCCAGTATTTAAACAAATCAGCTAGCTGCTCTAAATAAGCTCCTAAAAATGATCAACTTTTAATAATTTGTTTCTAAATTTTTTTTTTCTTTTACATTTAAATGGTTCCTTAACTTTTAAATAGCTGTATATTTCATTTATTTACATTTGCTTTCAAACAGCGTTTATCAATCCTTTTTTTTCATAGCATGTCTGCAAAATCTTATCCTTTTGAGCTCTTATTAATACCAATATTATCTTTATTTAAACTCTGAATTCCTCCAAAGAATCCCTAATTAAATATTTTTCCCACCCGAAATGTCCTTTATGCAAACATTAACCCCACACAATATTGCTTTTAAATAACTTTCAATTCCTCCCAAAATTCCATTAATTTTACTAATAATCCTTTTTTAAGATCATTTTGAATTAAACATTTAATTCTTCATAATGTAATGGAACTCTTCATTACAGCTGTTTCAGTTTATTAAAACCATGATTAGCTCCCACAAATTTTAGTTTAAATTTAAATTTCCAAAACTATCCCTTTTTTGTTTTGAATTTGTTCTCAATCTGGATTAAACAGAAAGTCTGCAACCCCTCCCTACCTTCATCTCAGAATACTATTATTTTATTTGAGAGGGTACATTAATATTTCAGGAAGTTGTTGTGCGGGGCGACTAGACGCCCGCCTGCGGATCAGAAGTTCGTGGGTTTGCTCCCAGGAGGAGTCAGACTTTTTTTTTTTTAAATTACCTTGGCTCCCAGGTAGACCCAGCCTTAATTGTGTACCGGGTGCAGTCCTGGGAAGTAAAGGCGGCGGGCTTGATGCTGACCACATCACCCATCGTGTGCCAATTAGTCTATAAAATATAGGTCTAGCCCTATATGCCCTATACACCTGAAGGCGTGGAAAAGGGTCATCTACTTTTATCTTGACTCCAATGTCGACCCAGCCTTAAGTGGGTCCCAAGTGCAGCCCTGGGAAGTAAAGGCGGACGATGTGATGCTTACCACATTACCCACCAAGTGCCAATTGGTCTATAAAATATAGGTCTAGCCCTATATGCCTAAAGGCGTGGAAAAGGGTTCTTTACTTTTACCCTGACTCCAGTATCGACCCAGCCTTAAGTGGGTCCCAAGTGCAGCCCTGGGAAGTAAAGGTGGACGGCGAGATGCTTGTCACATCACCCACCAAGTGCCAATTAGTCAATAAAAATACCGGTCTAGCCCTATATTCCCAATAGGCCTGAAGGTGTGCAAAAGGGTCCCTTACTTTTGACATCAATACTTCTCTTCCCTCCATTACTCTTTGCTGGATTAAACAGAGTGCTAACAAAAAGCAGGGCTGACAAAAATAAAAATGTAAAAAGGTATATTTCAAAACAGGAGTGCCGTTAAGAACAGCAGAGAAGGCAGACTGCCAGTAATTTGGCTATATAGTTTTTATGATAGGATAATTTACTATGGACATATTGTTAAGCTATGCCTCGTAATACTTTTTTCCCTTTCCCCTTCAATGCAACTCATAAAGTATAGCTTTGAAAACTATGAAAATGACTGATAGTAGAACTTGTAACAATACAAGACAACTCACAGATAATGATCATGAATAATGCCCACAAACATTTCAAGAGACATTAAAAAACTTACCTGCATGGTTCTGAGGTGATATGCAACGCAGCGGGAGAATGGAAGAAGATGAAGCTGCAGCCACAACAGACTTGCGGCCACGGCTGTTCCTTCGGGTAACCGTCATGTCCTTCTGGTTAATGAAACAAACAAAAAGGATGAGAAAGAAATGCTTTTCCTTCATGAACAAATTAGAAAGAGATGTTAGGTTCGGATGAGCATGGTGCAGTATTCTAGCTATGGGAAAACCTCTAGCTACTGGAGTGCAAAATTCCAGCTGTTACCAAAAGTGAGACATCCCTAGCCAGTGCAAATTTCTAGCTGATACCATAAGTGGGAAACATACAGCCACTGTAGAAAACAAGCTGTGGGACACTAGCTAAAAACCAACCATCTCCCTGTGGGATGCAATTTTTCATTATTTTGATGCCCCACCCTCTTGCCAGGGGCCGCATTATAGCCCGGCCATAAATATGGTCTAATGGCTGAAGGCAGTTTCTGGGACCTCTCCACAGGTAATCCTCATCCACATGGTGGTACTTTGTGTCATCGGATGTTTATCGCTTGTGTGATGTCCTAGTGGTGTAAAATATACTACTACTACTTCTAGCTACTAGGGTACACAATTCTTGCTGTTACCATTAATAGGAAACATACAGCCACTGTAGAATACAAGCTGTGGGATACTTATAGCTACTGGGTTACATAATTCTCGCTGTTACCATAAATGGGACACCTATGCCTACTGGGGACACCAAAGAGAAAAAATGATGAGTGGGGGGTAACCAAAATAGCCAAGCTGCAGTAGGACACAGTACTGGCAAAAGGCAAAGGATGCACTCAAAGTGGCTATCTACAGTGGGTTGAAAGATGAGTGTAGGAAGACCCCAGCACATCAATACAGTGGCAGTGACTCGAGGGGAAGGTTATGGGCATCTCTCTATGCAGGCCAAAATATGGCCGGGGAGATATAAACAAGTGTTTGTGGTTGTATGGCCACAAGGTGTTTGCAGTATTGCAGAAAGCTATGTTTGTACAAGGTTCAAGAGAAGTTAAGTTCTCTATGATGGATTTAAATATGGGAAGAAAATGGATCACGATGCACTAGATGTATGACATTCACACTTCTGAGTGTAGGTTATGTAAAAGTTCCTAGGTGTACTTCCTAGGACCCCATACAGAGCAATTACCCAGTTAAAGTCACTATTCAGATAAGGATCCCCCAGCTAAAAATCCCAGAAACCCTGTTTACCTGTAAGGTTTTACTGGGACACCCTGAAAGTTATAAAGAACCTGAATTCTGAATAGAAGAGAGTGATGTAAACACAACACCCGGTGACACAAAGTGCCACTATTCGGATGATAATCACCATGGAACAAGATTTTTAATTTATTTTACTGGACACAGTTCAGTATAACCAGTGTAAGCAAGTTTAATCAATTATTCCCCTTTTGATCAAATATACTGATACTGTTACTCTCTACTGTACAGAGATCATCAAATGCAAACCTTAAAGGCTGTGACATACATTAGAATGTCATGCCATTGTCTTATAAGCTGTTAATATTGTTGTTAAGAATGTCAAGAGTGTGAAGTAGGTTAAATCAAACTCTTCCTAATATAGAAGAAACACACCGCATGGGAAATCCAGTGAGCATTAATTTTTTTTTTTTAAACAAATCAGCCCACCAGAACATAAGGCACAGAAAGCAGACAGCAATGGTGATAAATAGCAATCGATCATAGACCCTCAACAGAGCGCACACAATAATTCAAGTAAGCTATTTTTGTTTGCACCGAGTGAACTAACATAGCTAATGAATCAAGGAAAGTGATTAGGAAGTTACAAGATGATTAAAGACCATCAAAGAGGGAAAAACAAATTATAAACAAGTCAACAAGAACAGTGAAGACTAAAAAGCAGATTCTATGCAAGCAATCAGAGCCATAAATCAATGTAGACATCATGCATCACTGACTGACTACATCAGCAACAAGGCATGCTGTCACAAATCAGAAAACATTTTTTATGACCCACAATGATAGTTAGGGGGAGGGGGGGGGGGGGGGGGGGGGGGGGGTGATGCAAGTATAAAATAGTTCACTGTGGAAAAAATGTATCCACTATAAACAAAATTGCTCGCCTGCTGGTCTAAAAGTAGTGGGTTCAAATCCTCATTGCATACACACTAGTTTTGATAAGTAATCTATTTAGGGCTCCCAGGTAAAATCAACCTAAAATGTATACCAGGAAACATCCTAGAATGTAAAGGCGGCTTGTGTGATGGCAACCCCATCACCCACTGAGTGCTGACTATTCAATCAGCAAAGTCCTTTACAGAACGCCACTCTCTTCACAATACACCTGAAAGTATACCTTTCCCTAGCCAGCTTTCCGGCCCCCATATGCTTTCAATGCCAATGCTTCTTCAATGTCTTGTATCCATCTTTGCAGTGGTCGACCTCTGCCTCGCCTTTCACAAACTGTACCCTCCATCACCATCGTTTCCAAGTCACCGTGACGTTTGATGTGGCCAAAATACTTCAACTTGCGGGACAGGATGCTGTTTATGAGCCAGTTCTCCTTGATGTTGAACTCATTTAGAATGTCGATGTTTTTCCTCTTCTTTGATCCATGGTATTCTAACAATGGTCTACACCATTTCAATTCAAAAGCTCTAACATTTTTCCTCAGTGACCGAGTGAGAGTCCAGGACTCGCAACCGTATATGTTGCCACAGGGAAAATGCACGATCTCAAGATTTGTACTTTAACCAATTTACAAGCGCTTTACCATATGTTCTTCATGCTGTTTAATCTCTGCATTGCTAATGCAAGTCTTCTTCTGACATCTTTCCAGCAGTCGCCACTGTTGTTCACTAAAGAGCCCAAGTATTTGAAATCTGTGACATTTTCTATTTCTTCATTTTCGATTGTGACATGTGGTTGATGTGCTGAATTTACTGAGGACACAATTGAGTGCTGACTGGTCTATGGAAAAAAAGAGAGAGAGAGAGAGAGAGAGAGAGACAGAGAAAAATCTGCCTTCAGAGAAATCTGCCTTGATGCAGATCTGAACCGCCTCCAGGCCAGCATCTAGCCATTTAGCTACCGTGGTATTAAATTTACAACAGAGATATTTCCATAAGAACACACACACACTATACCCCGCGTGGGTTCTAGGGTTCCATTGTGGGAAAAACAAGAATTGACTCACTGCCTCCCCAACAAGCATGTTGTAAGAGTTGATTAAATGGGAGCTTCCTTTAAAGTTGCAGTGTATCTGCCTGAGAGTCATGGAACCAACAGTCTGCATACAAATAAGCAAGATCTGTCAAACAGATGTCCATGCAAAACTCAGGTCCTAGAACAAAGCCAAAACCCAGAAATGGACAAACAACCAGTTCTTTCTGCCGGTAACCCCAAACAAACAACAACACACATAATAACACAATATGAAGTGACTAATATTTGTGGCCAGACGCTCAAAACCAGTGTGCTTCAAGCAGTGGTTCAGGTGGGCCACCAACAATTTCTGCCTAATCATCTAAAGAGGTAGGGTAGGTAGTTTTTCTCCTCTAGGACTGCAGTGTGCAGAAATAACAACCTCAAGGATGGCAATCAAATGATGAGCTGACAATTGTAATTTTGTAATATCAGATTTAACAAACAAACTGCTACCTAAATTTGATTTTACTTCTGTGTTTGGTTGGCTATAGGGTGGGGCCAAGAAACAATTTCAACTGTTCTGATGGGCCGCAGGTGTAAAAGGCTTGAGGAACACTGCTCAAAGTGACCGATAATAAAGGTCAGATAAGGAAAGTATGATGCAATAACACCCTACCAGGCTGTTTGTTAATGCTGGAGCCGACTGTCCCAGGGCTGTGTTTTTCATCCGCAGTAAGTTGGTGGGTTCTATCAGGGCGCTGACATCTGTGAAGTAGAGAATCAAAGGAGAACAGGATCAATAATTATTCACACAATTTGCCTTCTTTCAGTCTGCCAATCATAGTATGACATTCACATAAATAAGCCGGATAAAAGTCACTGGGTCCTCTCCGTTTTCTAGTCAAACACAGGAAACCCCAATTAGCGGAAGACAGAGAGATGTCAGATAAAGAAAGGCTGTGACTCAGACTTAAAGGATATTTCGTGATAAAGAAGACTTCAATGCCAAATTTTCAAAAATAGAAAGAAAAAAAATTACCTACAACACTTCCTGAACTGTGTAGTTAGATGAACTAAAAATAATCTGACAACTATGAAAGAACTGCAAACTGCATGGATGTTTCGGCCCTACTATGGGGGGAGAGGGGGGGCACGTTCCTCAAACAAATATGCTGTAAATGGGGACTAATAAGGAGTTTGCTGAAATCAAATTTTTTGGGCTAGTAGGTGCAGATATCACAAACTAGCTGTAAACCATAACACAATGTGCCAACCGCTGTTTAAAGGATGAACAAGAAATGAGAAAGAAAAACAAAACTGTGATTAGGTATTATTAAGCATCTGATGCCAAATGGTAAGACTGATCATTTTCTTCATATCTTGCCACCTCACTTTATTGTTCTTTTTTGCTGAACTTCCTCTTTGACTGTTTCAGGCCTCTAGGGAGATATAAGATTCTGCTTCTTGCTTTTCTTGCTGTCTTAAACACAGGCACAGTGTACTGTTTTAGAGTTTCTCTGATGCTATCTTTCCATTTCATTCTTGGTCTACCTCATGCTCTATGACCCTTTCCTCTTCCCACGTTTTTTATGGTATGGTGTCACAAGACATTCTCTCTAAGTGAATGAATCATTTTATTTGCTGTATTTGAATTCAGTTAAGTATTTGGACTATGCTGGATTTTTCTTTTACAACTTCAGTCTATCTTTTCTGCTCTGCTTCTGCAGCCTTTATCGGACATATCTTTTCCATAGTTACTAGCTTTCATTTTTATTGTGACTGATCACTGTTTGGCACTGGTAGCATAGGCTGAGGATAAATACGCTTTATCATGTTTTTTTGTGTGCTGACTGGGACTGAGTTATGATGTGAGAATGACATCTCACTGACTTCAATTTGTTGAGAAGCTCTATTTATGAGGGACAGAAGCACTGGTGATGTCTGACCCTGAAAGACCAGAGTGGTATTGCATAATGGTGCCTTCTTACTATCAATGGCTACGTCACAGATTTGAGTTATTTACATAGATGGGCCGATCAGTTAGGCCCTTTTCTCAATGCCCACCACCACGGCCTTTGATGGTCTCTTGCCACTTGCCTCCCATTTGCAACTAATAGTTGTACCCATAAGCCCCTCCAATCACCATCAGATGGATGTGCCCAGCTGAAGGATCTCAAACATAAACATGACATTTAAAAAGAAAATTATTATCCAGTTCTTTCTCTTCTACCCTACAATTTAGAAAAGATGGAGGAGATAGGTAAGACTCTGCAGCCATGTTTCTTCTTATTAGTTGCGTATCTTTTCCAGGACGTTGCAGAACCAACCCCAGCACTTTCTGGCTGTTGTGGTTTTTCTAGGCAAATTTACGTCCAGTAGTTTGCCATTGCTTTCTGGACGGTCTGCTCTCGGTATTATGGTCAAAACCATCACAACACAAACCGTCCGCAGCAGGGATTGAACCCAGCATCCCGGCATTATGAAGCGCCTAAGCCGCAGACGCCGGCACAGCCATCTCTACGTAGCATAATTACATGATCTAGACAGACTGGAAAAAATAGGGGTCACTGCAATCAAGCTTAATCCAAGAAATCAATCCACAAGCCTCCATAGGTACAATAGCTAGGACAACACGCCCAGTATGGGCACTGCTCTCATAAAAATAAACTGCAACCTACTGAGAGTATATTCCAAATAAAGGTCATGTCTGTACAACAATCGAAGACAGAAGGTTGTGGACAGATGTGATTACCCATGCCACACAGCATGGACTTTAAGAAGAAGAAATTATATCAAGGACCCCCATAAATCTATTGGGTCCATGGATCACTAAATGTGAAACACTTTTCTATAGCTTCACTTATGAAATTATTCCTCTCTTGTGGGTTCCAGAGCTCCATTTTAAAGAACAAAGAATAGACATACAGCACCTCTAACAAGCATTTCACAGGAAGTAACTAATCAGGGGTGTTCCTTTAAAGTCAGGGTGCATGTGCCTGAAAGGCAAGGAACCAACAGTCTGCACACAATTAAGCTGTATCTGTAAAATGGATGTGCACACAATACTCAAGTTCTAGATAAAGAACAAATACCACAAGTGAATGAACACCCAGAACTTTTTGGCAAGGAACCAATAGTATGCACACACAAAAGCCATTTAAGTAAAACAGATGTGCACTCTAGATAAAGACCAAATACCACAAGTGAATGAACAACCAGAACTTTCTGGTCAGGAACCAATAGTGTGCACACACAAAAGCCATTTAAGTAAAACAGATGTGCACACAACACTCAAGTTCTTGGTGAAGACCAAAGTACAGGAGTGGACGAACAACCAAAACATTCAGTCAAGAGTTTACAGCCTGCTAAACGCTAAGAAGAAAAAGAATAGCATTATTATAATCAGTACTAGCAGTAGTAAGCCGTACATTTCCACTCACTGTGAGTAAGTGTGGAGGGAGGATGTAGAGCAGTCGGGGTGGATGGCATGCTCTCTCTTCGTCTCTGTTTGGTGTCCTCAGAAAGGGTTCTCTGCAGCCGCCGCAGCCCACCTGGGGCTCCACCAAAAGACAGTTCATCCCGACACTTTCGTATCAAAGGAGATGGCAAGGGAGATGTTGTTGCTGGGCTGTGGAAGTCTGACTGAAAAACCAAACAAAATGTTAGAATTTAGTTTTTGGAATTTCTTTAAAAAAGCAATGTAACAGTAAACATTATCAAAATAAGGATTGAAAACAAATGATATGATATATACAGTGGTGAAGGTGCAAGGGAGGGGTGGGGGTTGCCCTGAATTTCACTGGGGGTGAGGATGTGTGATACAATGAAAAAAAAATATATATACATATATATGTGTGCATGTGGAAAGAGGGGGGGCTGTTAGAAATTTTCTGCACCGGGTGTCACCTGACCTTGCTAGTCTTTGACACTAGGGACACACACACACACACACACGTGCGCGCGCGCACACACACACACACACACGCAATTTTTTTTTTTTATTATGTGCCATCTCTACTATAAAGGGTGACTACAGTGTACACTTGTGTCTTTGGGAAATATTACATGAGAGGCCCTAATTTCTTCTAATGTGCGGTCCAAACACCAATGAACGTTTTCTTTATATTTCCTTCACTGCAGAAACTGAAACCTCCTACTTGAGGAAACATATTCTTGCTAAACACATTCACTAAACTCTGTCACAGGACTGCACAATATACTGCTATCATATAACAAGATTACTAATCAAAAACATCAAGAAAGGATACATACAATTTAAATTTACTGGACACATCATCATAGGAGGTAAAATTACCCTCTGTTGCGAAATACTCGGCAAGAGAGGCAGAACTAAAAATAATATCATCAGCACTAGGTTAAACAATATATATATATATATATATATATATATATATATATATATATATATATATATATATATATATATATATATATATATATATATATATATACACACACACACACACACATATATATATATATACACACACACATAAACACACACACATATATATATATATATACACACACACACACACACACACACACACACACACAGAAATAGCATGTCATGGTCCTTAAGTGTCCAGTGTCAAAAACCTAGTTTCCGAAACAGAAGAAGACAGTTGAAAAAAAAAACTATATACATTTTAATTAAGTATCTGTAAATACCCAAGAATTCCTTGAAGAAAGCTGTAATGTGTCTTATGGGGCAAAAATTAACACACAACCTGAATTTAATTTCAGTGTAATATGTACTTTGTGTAACTTTTTAATATGAAGGGTCAATCAAAAATAATTTCTAATCGATACAAACAAGGATAAAACTTTCAAAAGTGAGTAACGCTATTGTGTTCTATGTTCAATAATAAACCAAGGCAAAACATAAGCATTAAACAGCTAAATGAGCTGATTCATTTGATCTGAATAAAATCAAAACAGCTGAAGCTAGAAATGTCACAGCAATTACTCCCATTCTTATTAGCTGGCTACTGAAGTGTCTTGGCTGGGCGCAGCGGAACAGCTATGGATGCATTAGCTAATGGATTAATGTCTTCCTCTCCCCCATATCATTTTTATTATTTTCTATCCTTTCTCCATCCCTCCCTTCCTCCATCCCTCTTTCTCTCCTACCCTCTCTTCTCTGCTTCTTTCTCTCCCTTCTGTGCCCCCCCCCTCCTTCTATGATCCCACTACTAGAAGATCAGACAATATAGAACTGTCTTACTGGGTTCACAATCTAGTATACAAACATATGTCAGAAGAACACAAAGAACTGCACAGACAATACGATACAAATATGCAGCTCTGTGGTTGAGTGAAATGGTTTCACAATGCAATTCTCGACATTTAACAGGGTTCGAATCCCACGGTGGGCAGTTTATTTTTAAAAACTGTTCTCGTGGCTTTTAGACAGCGGCACAAGAGTTACACTGTGGAAGAAACTGGGGCATCGCCATGCTATATTCCTAAAGTCAGCAGCAGATACACTGCAGCACTGTTTTTATAGTAAACAAATATTTTTTTTAAATCTATTGTTATATTTATATTTTGTAATACAAGACAGGCAAGTAACCAACAGTCTGCATGACTCAGATCTGTGAAACGGATGTGCATGCAACACTCGGTTTCTGGAACAGGACTTTCCACCGGAGTTCACAACTGGTAAACACAAAGAAGAAGAAGAAGAAGAAGAAGAAGAAGAAGAAGAAGAAGAAGAAGAAGAAGAAGAAGAAGAAGAAGAA